TCACTGTGTACCCTGAGGTGGTGGTATAAAACTGATGCTTGTTTAAAGCACTTGTTACGTTGGCTACACTTGTAGGGCCTCTGTTCACTGTGAATTTTCATGTGCACATTTAGAGCTGACTTTGCATTAAAAGCCTTTTTACAGGTTCTGCACTTGAATGACGTTCTTCGAGTCCTCTTCCCCGTGGCCATGTCTGGCAATTTAAAAGCAAGAAAAACAGCTTGCTTGAGTTTTTAACGGTGAAATGTTTTGCGTGGGTTCTACCGGTTGGTTGTTTGGGTTACCTGACATTTTTCGAAGCAACCTCGTCCCCAGGGCCTTTCCCTTAAAAAATGGTCACGTGTCCCCTCGTACACCCTAAAATCCTGGGTGTAATAAATTAGCGCTATGCGAAAAGCTAAAATTATGCGTAACCTCACAGCGCGCTATCTTGGGCGGCCTTTGATATCTCTTGATGATTAACGAAAAGTTTTACACGATTTCCTTTTCCTTTTTGTCACAGATACTGGCTATTTGAATGTTTTGCTTTCCTCCGATTTCTATGAAGGGTACAGCGAGCGGTAACATTTGTAAAACTTCTGTTTATAGAGACTATACAGGGGCACCCAACGACAATTTTCGGAAAAATATCTGTTCGGAAGACGATTTGAGATCTAGAATTTTCGGAACATTTGTTGTAAAATTTCTTGTTTGCTAGCCTGCGTGCAGACGATAACTAAACTCTGATTAGTACCGTCTGCGAAGCAACGCAGAGATCCTTGTTCTGGACCCCCAACCGACTCAACGAATTACCGGAAGTGCGTTTCGAATTTCCCTTCAACCTGATTGGCTATTATCAGTCTCTTTACAAACAAAACAAAGGTCTTTTTTAACTGGCCAATCGTGGTGCGTACTCAAATCTGGGTACACAGCTGGAAGTCCAGAACAAGGATTTCGGCGCTGTTTCGCAGACGGAGTTAACCAGAGTTTAATTTCGTCTGCGCGCAGGCTACTTGTTTGCCTACTTCTCCTAGGATTTTCGAACATCTAAAATATGGTATAATTGCCTATTTTTAACGGATTTTTACCCTAAAAAGGTCGCCTAGAATTTTCGGGAGCCTTTTTTCTGGCTGAAATTTTCGAAAAGGTAAGTTTTGATCCCTATAATTTTCGGATCACTAGACTTTCAGCTAGGAAATCCGAACATTTAAAAAATTTTTAGGGGATAAAAATATGCCTGTATATCTACCGTTTAAATACTAAAATACGTTTAACAATGCTATGTTTAAGTGGTTTTGAACTATATTGTCGTTGGGTGCCCGTGGTAAAGGTACACTTTCACTGTCGATATTTATATGCACGTAAATTTACGGGTAATATATGAAAGGTCGCGCGTCAATGAAAAAGTTGAAGCTGACTTTCACTTTTACGCGCGGCTTTCATACATTGTCTCACTATTTTATTATACGCGACAGTGGAAAGCAGCACCCTACATCAGGTGATTCGGTTGTGGCCGTCTCTGGGACACACGCTAGAGCATGTTACACAACTGAAGTATTCAAAGTTGGAAATTTCAATGTTTACCTCGACCTGTTGCTGTTAATTTTCAGGAACTGGTTACTTCTTTCATTCAATTTTCTCTTCTTTAATCTCCTAAGTTCATGCTGTAACTAGTTTTTCTTATTATTATTTTGAAATAAAGGCATTTGAATGACTGTGAGCGTTGGGAATCTCCTGATTTTCAGATGTTTGCTCAGCTGATTATAGTTGTGATGTCTGCTAGTTCCTTATGTTATTAAATCTGTATTTTGGATTTTCTGGTCAAGTCCGTATACGGAAAAGTTTATGGCTAATCGTCTTTGATCAACTAAAAGCTTAAAACCTGCTTAGGCCTGCTGTCAGTTCGACATGTTTTTAGTGTCTTCTTCATCGTTATTGTAAGAATTCCACGTAAAACCTGCATGGAGGAAAATTAAGTTGAAAAATTGTCAGGCACAAACCTGAAACAGCATTTTATGCTAATGATATCTGCTGGCCAATCAGAATGATCCTTACGCAAGCGTTAATCCGAGTCAAGGGAAGGGCTTGTTGGTCATGTAGATGACTTGTTGGTCAAAAAAAGCCTACAAAATCAAGGTTCGGTAACTGCGATGCCTAAGGGAGAATTAGTATATTCAATGAATAGTGAACTTCGCGAAGAATATTAAAAGTGGTAAGATTGAGCCTCATCTTTTTGCCGTGACTGAGTAACCAGCTAGTTCCTCCTAAATAGGTTCTTTAACAGCATTTTATTGGGGCCGGTTAGCAAGGTTACGGGCTCGAGTGTGAAGAATGACACACACATACACAAACTTATAAAAAATCGTTTCTTTCGAATTCTATCCACAAATATGCTTTTTCAGAATATTCATACTTATGTCTATCTTTTTATTTTGGTTGAAGAGAAAGAAGACAACCACGATAGATGCAATATCAAAATCAGCGTCAGGCGAGAAGCCGCCCATGAGGAAGACAGCCTACAAGAATAGTCCCATGGCTGAGGTGCAGACACTCAATACCGCGGGGACACGAAAGCTGCCGCCGGATGGAAAGGTACGTGGCACTGTCCTTTTTTTCCGACGTCAACTTTTCTACCATGCCCTGGCCTCTGCTACTTTCAAAACTATGGCCAGTTAGACTAATTAATACGCGCAATTCGCCCCAATCCAGGACCTTTTCCTGCCCCATGATTCATGGGGGCATAGACCCCGGTGGAGTGGTAAAACCTTTCATGGACACAAATCCATTTTATCCTTATCACCGTGTTGAGTGGTGGTGGTGGCAATAAAAACAAAGTAAAGTAATAATATAAAGAAGTGATGTGATCAACATGTCACGAGCACGGAACAAAGAAAGGGAGGAGCCAGTCCAAAACAACGACAAAAAATTATGCCTAATTTTCCTCAAACGTGTCTTTGAATTCATGAAAAATACACCTCAACCATCTTCAAATTAGCTTCTACCGGGAGAATTTCACTGGAAAATACTTCAAACATGATAATTTTCCCACTTAACGTTATCCTTGGCATAGTGGCGCAGTGTATCTGCCTAGCAACAAGGCAGAGAGTAAAAAAAACTGCCACCAAACTGACCCGTTTTGTTTAATTTTGTTTATTTTTTATACTGATTTTCTTTTCCCTATTGGCTTCTCAGTCCCTTTGTCCTACTTCTGGCTCTTACACTCTGCTCCGCAAGGCTCTGCGATTCACGTATTCTAGTATTTAAACCAGGAGCCATAGTCGGTATAGGAGACCACGAGCGCGGGGTCGACGCAGTTCCACCGAAATACCGTATTTATTCGATTAACTGCCCTGGGTGCTTATTAAATTTTTGGACCTTGAGAGTGGGCGCGTATTAGAGGCTGGGCGCTTATTAAATTTTCACAATTTCAGAAAGTGTAGTATATTTATTTTGCAACAAGACAATAAATGGTAATAACAAAACTCGAAGATGTAACAAAGCAAGGTTTCTGTAATAATACTCTGCAGAAAACTCCGTCTTCGGGTAAGTCTCTTATGAGTACTTATTCAATTTTTTTCGGTTCGGAGGTGAAAGGGGGTGGGGTTGGGGTGTGCACTTATTCGAGGCTGGGCGCTCATTAACTTTTTCTGCCTTTAAGATGGGGGCTTATTCAAGGTGGGCGCTAATTCGAGGCTGGGCGCTTATTAGAATAAATACGGTAGTCAAATGTGCTATTTTTAGGACAAATTGCGCCACCTAAGTCCTTACAATCTCGATATACAGTCGACTCTCGATAACTCGAACCTTCAAGGGAAATCGAAAAAGGTTCCAGTTATCGGGAGTTCGAGTTATCGGGAGCTCGAAGAAAATAGCCGGCAGTAAGGAAAAAAACAGTTTTTACTGCACAGTGAGCATTTTAATCACATTTAATTGTAGAAATATCAAGTCAGAATTAAAAGATACTTCTAGATTATAAATCAGAACGTAACATAACAAAACCTTGGTTAAATAGAGCATGCGTTTTAAAAAAACTGTTTCAAAAAACACTGTCAGAAAACTGTTTCACGTTAGATTTGTGACAAACAACATCAGCCTCCAATAGTAAACTCATGCCTACAACACGTCAATGGGAAATTCAAAATTCAATGTTTGGGACGCCAGTGGACTATTTTTCCCGACTTTTAAGGGCTCAAAACATGGTTCGAGTTATCGACGGTAAAATTATATTAGAAATGATCTGAGGGGAAACAAAAACTACTTTGAGTTAGCGGGAGGCCCGGCGGGAGGTTCGAGTTATCGAGCGTTCGAGTTACCGAGGGTAAAATTACAGTAAATGTATGACGGAAATCCAGGGGAAATCGATTTTGGTTCGAGTTAGCGCGAGGTTCGAGTTAACGAGGGTTCGAGTTATCGGGAGTTAACTGTAATTTATAATGTATGTGGAAGAATGAGCCAATGTTATATATAAACATCACTACAAATACGTTTATGGCAAAAATCTCGCGAGGGTGTAATGGGCCAGCAGTTAGATTAGAGCGAACTTCTAGTATGTTTAACTCGAATAGCGCTTGGAACTGATGAAACTTTGCACATAACATTATGCAGGAATGTGACAATCCACTTTTTTTTTATCTAGAGATCGTATTACAGACATCCGTTTTTGCAAGTCAACTGCTATCATCTGTCAGCAAACTTGGTAGGCACTATTCAAAAAGTAACTTTTGTGACATTCTCGCATTCGAGCAACGGTTTTCTTACAATCATGCCGGGTGGTCGCTTACCGGAAACAGAGAACAAAAGAATATATCAAATTTCTGGCCCATAAAGTGGTCGCGGTCGCTTAAAAAATTTAGGTAGTGGTCGCTTACGAGAGAATTTTTGAAACGGTGTTTCACTGAGAAACAAAAGGATTATTTGTTAAGTGGTCGCTTACGGAAGGTGGTCGCTATGAGAGAGTTGACTGTACTTCGATCAAGTACTGCGTCCTTGGAGAGTGATACTGAATAAAGACATAAAACTTTTAGAGTCGTCTTTAGTACTCTGAGAAAACAGCTGACATTTCGCGACGCTGGTTAGCTAGCCGCGATAGCTTCGAGCAGTCTCATACCTGTTTTTTTTTTTTCAGTTTTTTGTTTGTAGGATTGAGAGAATGAGCGAGGAGAATCTTTCAATTTTACTCTTTCGCTCCCCACGTCTGGTTCTGTAGAAGAAAGATCGCTTGCGGTCTACTGATTTCTGCGCGAACGTTTTATACTGATCAGCTGATGATGTATCACACAAACTAGACTACGAGCAGTCTCTCTTTTTTCTTGGTCCGTCGAGCAAAACGCCCAAGACACGCAAATGACCTGGGGCCCGTTTCTCGAAAGTCCCGATAATTAACGGGCCCGGTAAGCCGTCTCCGTTTATATTAAAGATCGAGGTTTTAAAAGTTTTGCATCTAGCATGATAAAACTATCAGTTAGTGAAACAACATGAAGCAGTTTGCTAGCCAGGACCCTCGCTCTTATTCTTTATATTTCGAATTGAATATTTGATTTCGGGCCCGAAAAGTTACCGGGACTTTCGAGAAACGGGCCCCAGGCTCGTGACTGAAGGCGCGAGACGGGAGAGGCACTCGGGCTGCCGCCCTCGTTTCTCGCGTCTCGCTCAACGCTCGAGCGTATGCACTCCCCTTACTAAATCTGCCCCTTACTAAATCTGAAGAAAAAGAGAGACTGCTGGCAGTCTACACACAAACTACCCAGACTCGGGTAGTGCCTCTGACTGGCCGTGGCACGCGGAGAATTCGCTTCAACCAAGACACTACCCAGATCTAGGCGCTCTTCACCGCTATAAATTTCCAGTATGATAATACTCTGGACTATTCCATTTGCTTTCCAACTGCTCTAAAGGAATTCGAAAAAAACAAAAGTGTTTCTTAATTATGAAGTGTTATATGTAATCATTCAGTTGAGAGTACACGTTGTTGGCTTTGCCACTCGCTGTGAGTATTCTGCTGATATCGCCTGATATCACAAGAGAGTGCAGAGACTGTACGACAGGCGCTTTGAACTCATGAAGGATAGCCGAGCCGGAGCACAGGACATTTTGCGAGAAGCGCGAGACGAGCGGAGGGGACCATCACCCGCTAATGTAAAGTCTTGTTCTTGCTTTTCTGGAAGAAAAAAGATAAGGAAAATGACATTGTTGGCCGACAAAGTTCTTTATTGTGCTATACCTGATTGTTCTCGACTTTGACCTCAAAAAACACGGAAATTATCGCATTTATTCGATCGATTGAGTTTAGTCAGAAACTCATAAGGGGTTGAAACGTGTAACTCGCGTTCAATGCTCGTGAATATTCACTTTTACCATATTTGGAAACAGTTAGTGACAGATATCCATTTTCAACAAAATGGCTGCCGCGCGATCACCATGCATATGTTTTAAGACAAGAGTTCTGTACAGTACCGCAAATGATCCTGAGACCGCAAATGATCCCCAAAATGGACCGCAAATGATCCTCGACCGCAAGTGATCCCTAAAGTCGACCGCAAATGATCCCGTGAAAACTTGAGGAATGGAATGGATTGTATGGGACTGATTACAAAAAAGGACTGATTATAAAAAAGAATCCTTTTTCTCTCGCCTTTTAAAGAAAAAGGGAAGGAGGACGCTACATCTCAGGTCAATTTATACAAGGTGAAAAAAAAATTGAATAAATCTGAAAAGTATGGTATTAACCGTATACTTCTTGCTTTGTCGATTGTTTCAATTTTTTTTTAAGAATGTTTCGTCTTTTGAAAAATTTAAGACAGGTAGGACGTTAGGCCGAAAAAACTCTATTATTTTAACGCCTAGAAGCTCAACTTTTCTACTGAGGAATACAAAGCCGGGCACCCTCTACATAACAAGAGCTTTATTGACATTCTGATCTTTTTGAAAGCGTGAAATTAATCAGCCAGAATATTTAATTTTGATTTTTACGTGATAAACAGCAAGACATTTGTTCGTAACTTAGGTGCCCGTTACGAAACAAGACATGATTTAACATAAACACAAGACAAAATGCCTCCGAAAGTCGATGTCCACAGGTTTCGGTTTATTTCGAAATAGCAACTTTCTTACAGCTCATGAACGTGTTGTGGATAGTTATATTGGCGCTTTTATGTATATTCATTTGTTGTGCCTTTGCTGAAGGCAGTTACCAGGAATCTAAACCTGGTAATGACAAACACAAAGCCAGGTGAGCGGTAGTTATCGCGTGACAAAACATCGTAGCAAACCGTCACATTCACGGACTAAAAGAAAATCGCTTATGATTATTCGGATCCAGGAGGCACTTTGGAGAAAATTAAACAACCTAAAACCCTTATTTAGCGGCAATGAAGAGCTGACTGCATTTCAAAAGAGGTCAAAGGAATGCTCTTGCATCAAAGGGCAAATCATAACGACCAGAAACAACAATAATCGCAGAAAATGCATGTCATGACCTCTCAGTATGAAATAAGCGGCAAAAATCACAATTGCTTTGAATGATTTTTTCCATTTAGTTTTTAGTCATATATTTATTTGAGAAGCAAAATTTAGCTTTTAATCTGACTTACTGTAATAATAATAAAATCGACACGATGGTCCGATAACTTGAGTCCAAGTCATTCCTATTTTTCTTTCGGGATCATTTGCGGTCGACTTTGGGGATCACTTGCGATCGAGGATCATTTGCGGTCCATTTTGGGGATCATTTGCGGTCTCGGGATCATTTGCGGTTGGGGATCATTTGCGGTACTGTACATATTTTTATCTTTTTATCCCCTAAAAAGTTTTCATCTGTTCGGATTTCCTAGCTGAAAGTCTAGTGATCCGAAACTTATAGGGATAAAAACTTACCTTTTCGAAAATTTCAGCCAGAAAAAAGGCTCCCGAAAATTCTAGATGACCTTTTTAGCGTAAAAATCCGTTAAAAATGGGCAATTATACCATTTTTTAGATCCTCGAAAATCCTAGGAGAGGCAGGCAAGCAAGAAATTTTACAACAAATGTTCCGAAAATTCTAGATCCCAAATCGTCTTCCGCAAAGATATTTTCCAAAAATTGACGTTGGGTGCCCCTGTTTAGAGTCGTTTGATTGAGGCTGATTGAGTGAGCTGATAGAAGCAACCCATTCACCCTCGCCCACAAGTTACCATGGTAACATTAGGATCTCTGTCGGGAAGGTCTGGACTCCAGTTAGCACCCTCATTTGGCGTCGGTCGATGATATCATTCAGCAAATATAAACGAACATTCCTTGTAGCTGAATACTCGTTGAATTAGACGGTGAGAGAAGTTCCTATATTCATCCAAGACAGCAAAGATGATAGTGTATCTAGGGAGTATTCCTTGCTGGTTATTGGCGAGTGTTTTGATTGCTGCCTCATCACTACAGCAATCTGGTAAGCCTTGGAGCTTAAATTTGCGGAGATTTTAACTTCTAACAAAGTTGCTTTTGATGAGGAGGGAAAGGTATCATTCTTTTGTTGAAAGGAAAACCTTGATTTATATATTTTTTTGTGTTTTGGTGTTATTTTTAGAGGCCTTGACTTTCACTAGAAGGCCTGATAAACCGACAATCGTGGTCGAAGGAGTGAACAGCACAAATGTGGATCTCATATGGGAAATTCTTCCTGGCAGTGGCGAGGTTGTTCAAAACCTTTTCTTGATACGACAGAGGTTGGGGGATGTCAATCAAGTACAAATTGCATCGAGGAAATATACTAGTTCCTTCAATCTAGCGACCGATAGCTTCGCCAACGAGTACAGAGCGAACCTCCCAGCAACGTTGAGGTTGTTGAATGTAGATAACACCGAGGAATATGTTTACACCCTGCAAGTCAGCTACGACCTAAATAACAACGTACAACGGGATGAAGACCGTGTGACAGTTATCGTCCGCGGTAAGTCTAACAATTTTGCTTTCTTTCTCAGACGAATCTACAAATCTTTTACGTAGATTCACACCAACTTCTTTTCTCGTTTGTCAACCAATTTTAGGTGACCTTCATTTCTTCGCCTCTTAAGTTTTCTTGGCATTCCTTGTCCTTCTTTCTAAGTTAGCTTACTTCAGTGCTTACTTACTCTTGAAAGCATCAGCTTATTAATGCCAAGGTTTACTGAAGTATAAATGCTATGAAGATTGCATGTAAAACTTTCCCTTTCGAGAGGTCAGTACCTTGCCGCTTCCAGGCCTTATCCGCAGTTTATTAACTTTTATAGCATTTCTATGTTCAGTGGCTGTCGGGAAAAATTCGATCGAAGTGGATTCGTGGATACGCCGCCCGCAGTCACTACAGTTTTTACTATTACTTTATTCTATGTTGAACACGGTCTCCCAAAATTGATTTAACTGATAGTGTGTTTATATAAAGCTTGTATGTTTGTTGGTTACGAAGTTGATTTGAGAGTAGGTAGTGTAAAATCCACGCATAAAGGGACGTACCGTTTAAAATAGCATTCCATTCAGTATTTGGGCTGTTTGAAAATTACAGTTCTCTAGGGGTGTCTGGGGTGTCCCTGAATGAAATACTCGACATTGTGTAATGCAAAACAACGTTGTTTACCACAGTCCTCTTGTTGTAATCGATAGAGTGGGAAAACGATATTTGTCTTGTTGTTCTGTTTTTGAGACCTCTTGCGAGGCTTCCACAAACCACATTTTAGGGTTTCCTGTGCGCCATTTTAAAAGACTTCCAATATAAACCTCGTTTAGTCGTAACCTTCAGAATCACGCTAGCCTTTTTTGTCAACATCAAGTGTTGGAAGTTCATATAAACCCAGTAGTTTAAATTCTTGTTTGCCTCTTTAAGGTTACATTGAAGCAGATAGATCAAAAGGAATGGTAGTTTTTACTTCATAAATGTGTAGTCGTGAATTGATTTACATAAATCTTCACACCCATATTGTTAGTCACTGTATAATCGAGAGACTGCCGTGTCATGTTCAATTGTGTTTAAAATTTGAATGTCAAAAGAAATGGTTTAATGCATGCAAAAGTACTAAGTATATAAATACTATTTCGGTGAACTTTTGCCGGTGAGTGTTTTAAGCTACTTAATCGTTAAGCAGTTTTTAATTTTAAAGAGTATTTCATCGTAGAATTCGCCAGTTGTATTTTAATTCGTTCTTTTAAGACAATAATTAACGGATCGTACATGTAGCTTTAATATGAGGAAAAAATTTCAAATGTTGAGCTCCTTTTGTTAACCCAAACAATGGCAGCTTAATTTCATTAACGTTTTGCCTTTTTACTGGCTTTTTACATGCAATCAAGGATTATTTGGGTTTTTTTCTTAATTTTGTTTACTGAAGATAATAAAAACAGTTTGGATTGTAATGAGATATGTTGCTTTTAACCTTGACCAACCAACGTTCAAATTCTTGAATTTCTGGCGTGTATTTAATCATGTTCTGTAAGCATGCAAAAGCTGTAGATAACAACATGTAAGTGATGTTTAGGCACAGTTACACAGCAAAAGTGCATCTGCTCGTTGCTAAAATTATTTCTAACTCCCGTAGATCTTAGATTTATGTACACACGTGAAGGAAGAACATGAAGATAAGGATAAGTTGGAAAAAGTATTATTTTTGAGTTGAAGAAGAAACGATGTAAGAATAAATTGTTCTTTACTAAATTACAGAAAGGAAATACAGGTGTTGGCAAAATTCCTGCAATGTGGACAATTTTGAAATTTATTCACGTAGAAGTACTAACTGATGAAAATATCTGCCTTAGGATTGAAGAAAAAATTGCAATTACCAGGAACGTGTTCTATTAGAAAACAAAGTAATTTTACAAATCTGGTAATCTAGGGGTAATCTGTTCATTATACTTCTATTTTGATGAGCTGTCAATTTTCAAATGAACCGAACCATGAAATATCAAGGGGCATTTTCCAGAATTGTGGGGTTTTTTGGGCAAATAAATGTTTCCTCTTCTCCCCTCCCCCTCCCCCTCCCCCTTCCACCCTTGTTTTTTTGCTTCCGCTCTAACTTTCACGCAATAACTAGATTGGATACGTGGGGTTTGCAGGCTATTTTTTTCCCAAAAGTAAATCTTGAGGTCTTCTTGTGCCTAAATGTTTAATTATGGTCATGTGATTTATTGCATGACTAAAAATTGAACGTGTAGGAGATAAATTAATGAATTGGTAGCAAATTTTCTTTTGTTTGAGGTTAAACACCTGTAAAATTGGCACTTCTGATAGAGGGTAAATATACCCTACTTTCTGCATTATTGTGGAATAAATGTTTGCCAAAATTATAGCCAATAAATCATTTTCCACAGGTATAAACCCATTAGACCCAGGCCTTAAACTACTTGAGTAGTGGCTTAATTTGCATCAGGATGGCAAAATGTTTGTGTGACAAACATGGCAGGGTATGGAATTGTTAGTTTTTCCCTTTGATTTGATTAAGAGGCCCCGATTGGCATGGGGAACCTGTTGTGTTGCGGCAATGGCATAATTTTTACCACCTACTCTAATTAATTACGTTTTGCCGTTTCATTTCTCATTTTACCAATTATGTACATGTACAGCTATATATGTCTTGCTTTTTTTAGCGTATTACATAACCTGATTTTTGCCTCCAATGTATACAGATAATTATTTCAAACTGTATATATTTTTTAATCCAGATTTTGATTTTGTAAATACACTGAAGAAGCTATATAATATGTTACATAACAATTATTCACCTCAGTGTCGGTGGCTAGTGGTGGATATTTACCTCGTGGATATTTTCCACCACTAGCCACCTCCACTTCGGTGAATAATAATTGTTTTACTATATACTAAGACAGTGAGATAATTGAGCACAAAATTGACGATTTTTAACTCAGTTACTGTTGCCAACGATAACAATTTTGGCGCACAATGACCAAACGGTCGTCACGTTTTCTTGGTAACAAATAAAACTTTTGAAGGCTTTTGTTTAGTTCTTTCGTCAAAAGGAGTTGTGAATTCTCTTTGTATTGTAAAACCATTCTTTAAAGAAGTAAGCTTTTAATATTTATGAACAATTCCGCTAAATAAAGTAGCGCAAGACTTAAGCTGAATTTGCATTTTGTGTACGAAGAAACTTTTTCACCAGTTTCATTGATAAATTCAAGGCAAACAGACAAAGCTTTACCTGTTAAAACTTCCAAACCGAATTTCGCCACCTTCATCGTGTATTTCAGGAACATCTTGTTTGATTATTTGTGAAATTTCTTTGTTTCTTACAGCAACAAACCGGGAAGCCATTTTGCCCATAAATTACACAAGTTTGGGGTCGCTCGCTCAGAGGAACTGGAGCTGAATTAGTGAATAGTGCACGATATTCCGAGATTAAGCAGCCAATCAGAGCATGCGAAAAACACTATGCACTGTTTTAGTAGTCTGCTACACAGCCGTTTTTGGCTGTCGTAATGCAACGCTCAACTAGAGTGGTGTTGTTGTAGTCAAGTCCTATTCAAAATTTATGAGATAAGCAGCAGCAGCGAGCAAGTCGAGCAACTGTGACGCACTACATAAATGTGCTTATAAAGTTGCCAGGTATAGTTTCGGGAAATCGCTCATCGGTAATTTTATAAGATTGCTTTTGTTTGAATCAGTACCGCAACACAATAAGCACGGCATCCGGCACACGAAAATTCATCATACATATGCATGTTAAAAAAGAGCCAACTGATCCTGGTAAGAGTGTTGTAGGCCTATCAAATTTTTTTTTCTCTTTGAACTTTGTTAACCGCTTTAAACAAACCTTTCTGCAAATTAACCTTTTCATTTCTTGCAGACACAGAGCCCGTCCAATTTATCATTCAATGGACCTTTTGCGTCCAACAGTTTTTTTTCGGCCAAAATCTCCAAAGTAGCTATTGTAGAAACTAAGAGTGCAACTATTGATTTTTTTTCTTCTCCTCCTTTCCTTCTCCTCGCTCTTTCTTTTTCTCCTTTCCTTTTCTTTCATTACTATGATTTTGGAGCTTCTCGGGCTTAAGAAACATACCTTTTGACGCTTTTTCACTCAAATGACTGCAAATTTTGTTAAGTTGGTTTTCAAAAAATTGGCTAGATATATATTTAAGCAGTAGAAAACGTTTTCCGTGCTTGCATAGCCTGATATAAAGACGAGAGGTGTTGGGAGAATTTAAGACAGTTATGCAAAGCCAAGGGTTTGCATAACTGTCGAGAATTCTCCCAACCCCTCAAGTGTTTATATCAGGCTATGCAAATACAGGAAAAAAGTTTTTATTGCTTTTATAAAATAACTTTCCTGAGAAAAAAGCAAAACTCTTTGTTTAGGGTAGTAATTGAAAGAGAAATTCTTACCAGTTGTAAAGTCTTGTACACGAAGCTTGTACGCGTACTCAGTTCTTGTTTTGAAATAAAGTTGCTTTCCAAAAATACAATGAAACCTGTATTAAGTGGACACCCTCTGGGAATGGTGAAGTGTCTGCTTAATACAGGGTGTCCGCCTAATACAGGTTTCGATAGATAACGTCAGATGAGGTGTCAAATGCCATTCAAATGAACAGTGGAGACGTTTAGAATACTCCCAGAGACTATGACGATATCCGTTTGCATTAATGCCGTTATTAATGAAAGAGGACCACTTGATCATAGTACCATAAACATATACTGCAACTCAACCGGCACTCCACGAATCATAACAAATCATAACTATGCTACTAACTGAGTACAGACAATCATTAATTTCACAATCATAGGCATGATGCAATGTGTACACTTAGAATCATTTCTGGAGTCATAACATTATTTTAAGAGAACACATAACAGCATCTCTAGAATCATAACATGATTTTATGTGTACACTTAGAACCATTTCTGGAATCATAACCTTATTAATTTTTATGTGTAGACATAACATTATCTCTGAAATCATAACTTGATTTTATGTGTATACAAAACATCATCTCTGGAATTATAGCCTGATTTTCTGTGTACACATTACATCATCTCTAGAATCATAACCTGATTTTATGTGTAAACATAACACCAATGGAATCATAACCTGATTTTTTGAGTACACACAACATCATATCTAGACTCATAACCTGATTTTTTGTGTAAACATTACATCATCTCTAGAATCATAACTTGATTTTATGTGTATACAAAAAAATTAAAAATCATCTCTGGAATCAGCAGCTGATTTATAATAAATATGGCAAAGTCAAGACCCTTTGAATTTCAGGGGGCATTGAAAGTACTTGAAATTGATTTTTGGTTCTTGAAAATCCTTCATTTTGATGCTTTTACGTGTGAATGTGCCAAGCTTTAAAGTTGCAATGTGACTGTATATTGCTGTTCTTCTGGTAAGCAAAAAAGTTCATTAACTGGTCTTTCAAGTTGTCATTGTTGCATTTACAGTACATGCATGAACAACTAACAGCAACACACCACCTCTCAATAGCTCCTACATTATAGTTCTACATGTCTTTACTAACAGAAAACAAACCGTAACTGGCCAGTTTAATCTGTATGTTATTAATGATAATTATAATTTGTGCTTTCATGATATGTAACAGAGATGCTAGCCTCTGGAAATCCAAAATTTTGTTCATGACATTGTAAGCACTAGTTACTGCTTCCTTTGGGGAGAAAAGTAGCTGACTTCTTTGAGCAAAATAACCAAAGTGTTTTGTCAGTCATCGATGCTTATTGAAACCCCCTGGGTTAGGTAGATTAAGGAGGATGTTTCAGCCTGGGCTGGTAGGTTCACCCACCAAGATGTGCCTAATTCTTCATACAAAGCCAAACCCAATAAATAAATATTGTTAATAAGGCACTGGCCATGAACTTTTGCCTCCATGAATGCAATGACAAAATTAATGATCTCAACAATCAAAAACGTGTAAAATGCCACCAGAAACTGTACAGTGTGTACTATGAAATTTAAGATTAGAGGCATTTTTGTATTGTGGGAAAAATTTGGGGTATGTTCCAAAGTAAAGCATTGAAAGACTCAAAAGTTGATTTTACGGGAGATTTGGGAGACTTCAGGATAATCTGGAAGTGTTGGCATTTTTATAATGGAATGGAATTAACAGGGGTTTTTTTGTTTGTTTTTTTTTTACAATATTATTCCCAATTCGTCGCACTTTCCCAGCTGTTACATTTGCCTCGCTAATAATTTAACTCATTTTAAACACTTTGATAACAAATACTGCTTGTGAGATGTTTTGTCACATGCCTGTTGAATTCAGCACCTCACACTAAAACATGTTATAAAACAGGGTTTTAATGTACTTAGATACATTGTACAGACTGAGTTATATACATGTAAGTATCTTCATTTGTACCAACAGGCACCAACGGGTGTAATACTGTTAATTTATGTTTCAGTGCCTCCAAGAATAACTGAGATTCCTGTAAGGCAGTCAAGTGCAACTGTTGGAACAAATTTGACACTGACATGCAATGCATCTGGTGACCCCACCCCCAATGTCAATTGGACTAAAGAGGGTGAAACAGCAGCAGAGTTTAATGTCTCTGGTCACAAGCTTCATCTTGTTAATGTAAAAAGAGAAAATTTTGGATCGTACAAGTGTACTGCTGATAATGGATATGGTACTCCTGCTACAAGCCTTGCAGTTGTTAATGTAGAATGTAAGTTTTATACTTTAATTTTGTCACTTCTCAAAGACAAAAAAACACAACAGTATATTGAATTCCGTAATTCTCACTTACACCAATTCATGCAACATTTATCTTATTTGAAATTTGCGATAAAAATTTTTCAAAGTGAAACAGAGTCACAGTTCATTCACTTGTCTCTGGGCAGACTCTCAACAAGGAAAACAAGGAAACACTTTTTTTTAAAAATAGAATTATTTCATGTAGTCATTTGTAACAGAAGCTCATATACATCATGTATTGTATTAATTTTTGTGAAGAAATTTTCTACTTTAATAATAAGTGCTGATAACACAATTCTTCGAATATTAGAACGGAAAGCTCCTACCACACAAGTCATGTTAAAATAGAGGTGAATCAAGCAGTACTGTTTTAGATGTAGTTTCCCAGATTTGATGGGAATACTTGAAGTTGTCAATACATGTATATTGTTTACAATCTAATCTGCATCTTCATGATGACCGGACATTATAGCCAAATCCGTTTTATTGCGCTGCGCATTTTGCAAACTTTGAAGGAATTTTGGGTTTTTCTGTTACGTCAATCATCTTAGCGGACCTCTTAGAAAACATGTGTTTACTTGTGATTGGTGCATTTCGGTCCACTTTGTTTGCTTCTGTGTTTCAAGGTTTGCTGCTTGTGATCACCCTGTTTCTCATTGTTTCGGGCAATGATCAACTAGTTTTCTTCAAAGCCTTTTTGTGTTCTTTCTTATTCTTTTCTCTTGCAAGAATAAGGCAATGTCTGCCTCCTGTCCTCAACAAAAATTCCACTTATCATCGCTACTTCCTTCGCTATTCTTGAGCAGTTTAGGGTCATTCTCAATTATTTTGTTTTTGCGGGCCAAGCTGGGCTAGTGCATTGCATTGTGATTTGTATTAACTCCACCCCCACTCAAATGATTGACGGAACAGAAAAACCCATTTGAAGTTTGCAAACCCGCAGCCCGATACAACGAATTTGGGTATAATTTCTTTTCTATGTGTATGTTTATTTTCTCTTTTTCTACTGCCTTTTTTTTCGATCTGGCAGTTTTTTTTCTTTTTTTTGCATCAGTATCATGCCAGAAACATGTAAGACATTCGCTGGCTCACCAAGCACCATTGTTAATGATGACTATTTTCCTTTTTAGTGTAAACTGTAGATCAGTGCTTTTCTGTGTTTTGACTGTTTTCAATGCAGGTCCTAGTCAGTGTGATAGCAGAGAAGTTGGGATTACTATAACTGACAACCAGTGGCCTTGGAATGCGGTTTATGAGAACAGAGCATCCATTGAGTTTAAGATGTTACAATCTAACTTAACATCAGCGGTAAGTTTATTTAACTATTCTACTCTTATTGACTTCAGGGCATCTGATAGGGTGTTGCAAAGAAATATGCAGCAATTTTAGGACATAGCAAGAATCGGGCTGCCATGGGGCGCTTTTTTTTCCTGAGAGGCAGCTTTACACACTCAGGCTACCATAAAACCTTGTTGCTGATCATTGCATGACACTGTAATAGAATCTCATGTGAGAGTGAAACAATGTACCCTTTTGGAAGACTTTCGTAACAAGATAAATGAGTACCATTTTAAAGTCAGGGCTGTAAAGTAACTTTTAAATTCCACCATTATGAATAAAAATAGGCAAGTAAGCCAACCTGGAAATTTCAAAAACTGTTGTTCTACGGGTCATAAAACATGTGAATCCTCCTATATGGCACATTGTAACACCTCATTTTGACACAATAAACAGATTTTTCTGGAAATGGGCGTTGTAGTGTGTGGATTATGGTATTTGAAAAGACAGTTAACTACAGTCTCTCCCCTACATGTATCTTCGCACCTTTCTTTCCTCATTTGTTTTTTACTGTTCGCCCGCCTTTTTCTTTCATCTGCACTGACCGAGAGCCTGGCACAGGCTAATAGGAGAAGGTTAGATGTACAGCTTCCCAGAAATGTGAACTGATCCAAAAATTAAGTACCGTACGATAGTTGTATCACGGTCATACAAGAAGACTGTGTTCCGACTCAAACCTTTTGAACTTACATGTGCATCAGGTGTCTGGCCAAAATGGACTTACAGCTGACTTACAGCAAATTTTGTGGATTTAAAGCAAATTGTTATACTTATTTTGATCCTAAATAATGTATTTCCAATAATACATTTCCATGCTGGATCCACCTCTGAGCTGTAATGGGTTAATGGGAGGAGTAATGTGCGTCCCTATCAAAATTACGTTGCAGCAACTCTCAGATCTTACGTATTTATATTTTTTCTGTTGAATCACTTACATTGAATAACATACATTGTGTCTACAATGATGTAAGTTATGCGTGTACAGTAATACTGCACTTGCTATGATTAGATTGCAGGTGTTTACACCAGAAATCCTAACAAGAGGTTTTATGGACAGTCAATTCGATTATTCAGGTACAGTCTGATTGGAATAATAATAATAATAATAATAATAATAATAATAATAGTAATAATAATAATAATAATAATAACTAGTAATAACTGCAAATTAGGGGAGTGCGTCCGATGTGGAGGGGGGGTAGGGTGGTGGGTAGTGAATGATAGTGGGAAGGGGGCGCAAAACCTGATGGGCTTATAATATTAAGAAATCAAAATCAAACACTTTTATCAATACGAATATCAGCAGCTAGCTTTATCAGTGTTATTGTTACAATTACTTTACAATTCGTTACTATTTCATTTTTGCTCAAAAACGTAAGAGCGTATTGTACTTTTTACATTTTCTTGGCTAAACCTCTAAGTATCGAGTATTACTTTAAACCCTTGTTGCCTGACACTAGGCTGACACGACTCACCTCATTCAACGCACCCGGAATTAGTGAGATGAAAAGGTCAGCGTTTCACTGTTCAACTTTTTGTATATTTTTCAAAAATGATGACAAGCAAAAGCAAATACAAAGCTGTAAATAGTTTTTAAAAGCGAAAAGATGTAATTTGTAATAGAATTAAGTATGGTCGATCTAAGGTGATCTTGCTTGAATCCATAAAAACAAATACAGTGTGCAGAACGCATTGTTAACATAATATCCACATATCCGATTATCTTAGAATGGAAATTTTCCTATACAGTGTATAAAAAAAAAAACTTAATTGAAAACTGCGAGAAAAACTGTAAACAAACCTGTCGTAAACAGAAAATCGCCAACGTTTCATCTGTGAACGAGTGTCACAAAATAGATACGAGCTCCCGGGTGAGAAAAACTGAACACGTGAGATCGAGGCAAAATGTGCCAGGCCGGTTCAAGATGGCGTCCAAACCGTGAAATCGCATGGCACACAGAACGGTTAATACTTCATGTACGGTACATCAATAGTAAACGTTCTCCTTCGTCGAACGTAGTAATAATAATAATAATAATAATAATAATAATAATAATAATAATAATAATAATAATAATAATAATAATAATAATAATAATAATAATTAAGAAAAGTAGCCCTGAAGATACTTTTCTTCGAGATTCTGCAAGACCTAGGCCTTGCAGACCGAAGTCAGTTTACGAGGCGAACAATGCACAAGCGTTCTGGGACGTTCCTCTATTTGCGGAGCACCAAGAAGTTGCAGTCAGTAGAGCCAACAGAGTTGATGCTCGCATTATCAACCACGAGTCAAAGCGAGTCATAACGCTTGAGATGAGCTGTCCATGGGTTACAAACTGGGAGAAAAGGGAGGAGAAGAAAACCACGAAATACGGACCGCTCCGTTGGAAATTAAAGCAGAAGTTCCAAGGATATGAAGTGAAACAATGTAATATGATAATGGACGTATTAGGGGGATGGTGCCGAGACTTAGAAGTCAAGCTGAAGAAGTTGGTCGGAAGTAAGAGTAAGGGAGTTCTTTATAACATGCAGAAGGCTGTACTCTCGGA